CAACTACTAACATCACTATAGCCATCTAGTGTGAAAAATGTTGACTGTACATCCTAGAAATTGAGATAATATTTTTGACATTTCGACTTTGGACTTTTATATATTTATTTATAAAGCACGTAGAGCAAAAACAAGCATACTTTTATTATATATTTTGGGTATGCGCTATTGATTGAGACCATTATCAACTCGATCGGTCCAGGCATTATTGAGTTCCGATAATCTTGGCTCTCTGGGCTCTTCGGGCTCGCGTAAAGATACACGTTCGGTCTTGCGCTGTGCGTGAACTTGGCGCGAGACACTACCGTGTCTCTTGATAAGTAGTCATTACAAGTAGAGATATTTCGGAAATATAAAGATCAACTTCGTTTTTTTACATAAATTGTTACATATTTTATGCTAGTTAAAAAGTATGTTGAATTCTGAGTACAAATGTATTAACATTTATTAGCCTTAAACCTAAGAGAAGTAATGAGATATTCAAGCAAACAAGAACAAGAAGTAACAAAAAGTCAAAAACTGATTCGATATCATCAAAGCTGTTAATAAACCAGCGGTGTTTATCTGGCAATGTGTATCGACATAAATAATCTTAACTTATCGTGATTGTTAGTCATGTTATTCGATTCAGTATAAAAGATATCGTCGATCTCGTACGCAAATATTGCAAAAAGTTTAGTAATAACGGAAAGGCAGATATGCTTCTAACTTATGGTGCGTGCAGTAAAAATGTACGTGCGGTAAACAAGAGATGAAATTATGTATACTAAAAAATATTCTAAACAAAATCAGCTATCTCGATGGACATTTCACAGACTTTGTTAATATTACCGCAACCGTACCAAAACTGCTACCACTGAAGAAAATACTATTGCTGCCTTAACATCCGTAACACACAATCCGGATATTAGTACACGAGAAATTCAACTAGGGTTTGTATGAATTAGGGTCAATATATTTTCTAACTGTGGCATAAAATATATAATATTGTTTTGTGTGCGTGTGTGTGCGCGTGTGTGCGCGCGCGCGCGCGCGTGTGTGTGTAACATTCCATTTTTTTAAATAAAATTGATCTTAAATCTCCAAATGCCTCCACTTATAAAAAAGGTACATGTACTAAGTAATGACCTCCTTGAAATTATGCAACTTTAATTGTATTTTTTTTATGAAACATATGACATTTTACAAGTTATCCAAAGTGTGCAAGTTAAGGTGCCTCACCATGTATATAATTCTAGCGTTTAGAACTTTAGAATCAAACCTGTAAACGCGATCTTCCTATTCTGCACAGAATTAAATCGAATAGCACTTCCATGAGTGCCGTCAATTCGGACAATGCTTTCATCATTCGAATAACGTCATTTTTAAAATACCAAGCACCGAGAATCAAAGATGGTACTGATCCCAGTACATTTAAAATTGCTAAAGTCCAACTGAGATCTCGAAAAAAGATTTCGCGCTTTTTAGCCGTGGATTCAGGTGGCCATGTACTCGTGAATGTTCCACAAATTTGAAGTATGCGTAGTACTTGATGAATTTCTATTTGAATTAATACCATCGTGTCGGGCCACTGAGAACAATCCTGCAAGAGGCAATATAACAATGTACACAATATCTCTATTTCTTTGTGCAAAAGGTAACTATACATACTTATGTATGCAAGCAGTAAAAGCAAGACTGCGATATTGGACGGGCAAATTGATGATACATTATTCACTTCTTGCAAGACTTATGATTAGGAAGAAAATAATTGATAGTCTACGAACATTTCCAATACGGAAGTGTGGAAAATACCTTATATTGGTCTTTAAAATGTAGCTAATATTCAGTTTTCGGCAAGGTTATACTTTACATTTCTAACGATCACGCGCTATTGTTTTGTTATTATCCTATAATTTAATAAACTTTGCAATTTGCATAGATTATTCTGAAGGAATATCTGATAATGATACACATAAGAAAGCATATGTAAATAGTAAGTTCAGAAACATTGTGAATCATATACACATGAGAAAAGAAGACATATCATATGAAATTAGTTGAAAGATTTTGACTGTTTTTAGTATAATATTTATTTTGTGTTATTGACGAAATATAACAAATATTTACATCGGTGTTATCTTATATCGTCAACTAAAAATATTGTCAATGAGATAATGTTTAAAATAAATATAATTTAAAATGTCATTTTAATTGCATTATCACATATCATATATAATAATCGTTATAAATTATAAAAAATTAAATGATTGAAAACTTATAAAAAACATTTATAATATTTAGAAAAAAACGTAAAAGTATTTATCCTGCTTGCGTTTATTAAATGTTAATACTTATCAGTACTTCACAAAAATTAATAGATAGGCATACACATATAAAGAAAGAGTGAATGAGTGAGTGAGAAACAAAAAAGAAACAGAAGTTTGATATGTTTTGTTTTCTTTCTTCTGAAAGTGAAGCTCTTGCTAACCATAAATAACGATCAATATAAAATATTCTAGAAAGATTTAGAATCCTTTATCATTCACGCACTAGACTCATGCGTAAGTGATAAAGGATTAAAACCACACGTGCTCCGAAAATCGTGCAAATAAAACGTGTTTTAAAAATATACTCTGCTGTGGTTTGTGAAATATATTCATATTAATGATTTAATAATTTATTATAAAATGCGTGAGACTTATTAGAAATTCTAAATTTTGTATAATTTAATTTCACACTGAAAAAAGCCTAATAAAGGCAGAAACGTCTGTTTATTTATGTAATTTTTCATATAAAATATGTTATCGCACGTACATCTAGCGTTGACTTCTTTGCTCTTGGATTTTTTAATTTGATATTGTAGGAATATTATTAAGCCGTAAGGCTTGTTTAGGTATTTGATAGGCGGAATAATTAGAACAATAGTGGAGCAGTTGTGGGGCAACAATAAGTGCTAGATTGTGAGAACAAAGGATCCCGAATTCAAAACCCGGTCAGCTTTTTAATTTTTTCCGACGCTTACAGTTTTAGAAGTAGGATTGAATCCGCTAAATCCAAAGGAAGACAGAGAATTTAGATAGAAAAATAGAATTTTGTTTACTT